ATAATTCTTATAGACAGGGGCTTCAGCTTCATTTGGTGTCACCACTGCCACCAAGACTTCCCCATGAAAAACAGGCACATCTATCTTCTCACATCCATACAACAACCAAGTCAATTTGCTTTATTAATTCACTCTATTTTTATATGTGTTGACTTACTCATATGGCCCCATTCATCTGTTTCACATCTTTGTGTTTAAAGGGATCAAAATTCTAGAAATTAAAAACTATGATTTTCTCAGATGAGCAAACACCAAAAATGCTACTTACACTCCAGAACTGGAATTGCTAAATGAAGTGGTCTCTTTCCTTAGCTGAACAAATATCTGACAAGAAGCAGCAGAGGAGGCAAAGACTTCTCAAAGTTATGTTATGATACTGGCCAAGCAGAGACAGCAGGATTTGTCCACTGCACCAAGCCTGAATTTTAGAGAAGCTCGACAGCTCCACAGAACTGACATTTGTTGGAGTATTAACTAACTTTTAAAAGATGCTTAGAAAACCCATGAAAAACGTTCCCTAGCTGATGTTCCCAGGTTCTGAGGTGTCCACAACACCTTCAGAAGGAGACCTAACTCATCTCCGCAGACAAACAGTCCAAATGCACACCCTGTCCTGGCAGGCTGGAATGCCTCCCAGGGGAACTGACATTACTGAACAAGCATAGAAAGCTGAGCAGACAAATAAGCACAACTACCTATTTTTTTTTTTCTTAAATAAAGAGCATTTCCCATTTCAGAAAAAGTGAACAAGAAGTGAACACCCACCCACAGCCTCAAAGGCAAAGAAAAACAAAGATTTCCAGAAGCCCTGCCCTTCAGACACACCAGGAACAGCCAGATCCTGCAGATCAGCACTGGGAACAGCAACGGGACTGTCATAGGGGAGCACAAACTAAATACTTGAGCTTTAAACTGCTGATTCACTTACTCCCACTATCTAAAGAAAAAAAGGAAATGATGTGCCTATAAAAAGTGTACCATGTGCAGGGCACATGTATATAAACCCCAAACTGGCTCACAGGAGAATGGCAGAGGAATTACCTATCATCAGGGACAACTTGGCTTTTTAATTACAGATGGTTTTTTGTTTGGAAAAAGCCTTTCTAAAAAGCGAGCCAAAACATTACCAGAAAAGTGACCAGGAGCATTCTGACCTAAACTAAAAAGGTGAAAAGGATCCAGCCATGCACACACAGAATTTGGTCACAGAGGAAGGCAGGAACAAGCAGACAAACCCCTGGGCTATAACTTCAGATCCCAAGCAGATTGAGCCAAGGCAATTCTAGCTTTACAGCATTTCCCCAAGACTCTGGGGCCACCTCCCATTCCCAATCTCAGCTGCCTTTTCTCACTGCTTTTACGAAGAGGCAACATTTCCTCAGTTGGCTGTTTCTTTGATTTTCGCTGCTTGTGATTTTTAGGCAAGAAGACGGTCACCCACACTACCCAATAATACCCAAACTCATGCAGATTATGTTAAACAATCTAGCCGTGGTTGCATTGAAATTTTTGTGTAAAGGGAGAAGCAAACCTGTAGTTTCTGTTCGTCAGAACAGGCAGAAAGGACATTTCACACATGTTTCTGGTGCCCTCAGCTTCTTCAGTTATCCTTTCCCGTTTCATCCCATTTTCATGGACATGTGGACAATGTGCATGATTTTAACCTGTGTTGTCTGGGAATATTCATCCACTGATTCTCAGTTACCTGAGCAGCTGCTGGGTACAAATGAAGGCACAAAAAAACCCTTTATCCTAAGCCTCTTCAGTGCCATTAAATCATCCTAATTCCCTCTTAGGTGACAGTCCTGGCAGCTGGCACAACAGTAAGCAAACTCACATATGAACACTCCAATAAAACACCACATTATGATTTGGACCTGCTCCCTCAACATAAATATTATATTTTTTAGACCTGGTGGATCTAACAGTCACTCAGAGGTACCCACCCAGAAACCACTCTTGAAAACAAGCCTCAGTCTTGGATTTTTACAAAAATTAGCACAGAAAGCCCCAAAACCAGAGCCATCAATGCAAGTACGAGATGCATATATCAAAGTTCAGGATGACACAGAAAATAAATGATGTGCAGGAGCGGGGGCTTCCTCCCTCTCACACCCATGCTCAGAAGTGCATGCAAATGTTGTGAGCTTGTAGGTCACCAATTTAGCAACTGGTTTCATTTTGAGACCTTTTTGGAGGGGAAGTAATACAGCGAGAGCAATTCCTCCCAACCCACTTCCCATTGTCACCACACAAACAGACTTGAATTCTCAGGTTGACAAAAACTGTATCTGCAACAGAAAATGGGATTATCATCAAAACGTGCCCCATAAAATGTATATTATTTACCAACTGGAAGTAAGGTCTGAGGCAAGAATACAACCTCAGAGAAAGTCCCTTTCCTTGTTTCATAGAGCTGCTCTCCCCAGCCCACACTGAGTGTACGAGTTGCAGACCACAGAGATCTTAGAAGCTTCACCACATTTGTGTGGAGGAGGTTTCTGCAACTCTACTGATACTCAACCCATTCTCATTAAAATCATATAGAGGGATAAGTCATAAAAATTCCTACTTTATTTGGAAAAAGGCTGAATAATTTCTTTTAACGGCCTTAAGACAAGCTACGCATTAAAAAATACCAATATTCCCACTCTTTCAATCTCTGGCTGCTTTTCTTTTTTATCAGGAAGACAAGTTCTGCCACATGGTTCAAATTCTTTTATACATTGATCTTCCTATTGTAAATTTTTTTTTACTATGATGTTAAATTACACAGCAGAAATAAACAAGGGTATCTCTCTCTTAGTACATTTGTGTACACATGAACATGCTGTATTTGACAGCTGTCTTCTCCACCTTTTCCATGTCATTTTTACACTCTAACTGCAATGTCTTTGTAGTGGGATCCATGTCTTTCTATTCTTACCTGCACTTCCAGTTCCAATTTGATCAGAGTTTAGAGTAACACAATGTTTACATGCTAAGGAACTACAATAAGGAATCACTCATTGTCTCTATTGTGTGGGAAGGCACATCTACAAAAATCAAAAGCAGCATGTGAAAAAATAATTTATAAGTAATATTTGAAAGTCGAATGTATGGTGATCAAAGGCAGTGGAAACAGAGGCTGAGCCTAAAGAATTATCTGCAGCTTGCCATGCTTTAACTACCAGCTCCTGCAGACAGCTGAACTGCTGTGAAAAAGCCCAGAAACAGAGTTTAATGGTAAACACATGAGCCAGCAGGGACAGAGAGACAGCCTGATGCATTCCATGGTTTGCTTGGAGATCACATAACTTCACAGCAAAAAACCACATGCCAATATATGGGGTTGAAAATGCAAAAAAGCAACCAAAAAGCACTGGCAAATAAAATAACCAAAGCAACCCAAATATCCAAACCCAGAAGATTAATTCTGCCAAACTAAACATGTCCAGCTTGTCACAGGTCAATTAGTGACATACACTGAAAACGCAAACAATTTATTCTCTGACAAAAAATTCTGCAAGTAAATCTATATTTATAATACTGATGAGTCTTCTCATAAGTGTTAGGGACCAGACTATTTCAGATTAGAAAATGATTTATTCTCTTAAGAGCCACAAACTTATCTTGATCTGTGAGTTTGAGCCAGGCTTGCTCCACATGCCTGCAAACTCTCAGCCAGGGGAGTTTGGTGTTTTTCCCATGACATGTTGCTCCTCCAAAAAGCAGCAGCCCTAAAGGGCTGTGGGGATGGGTGAGGGAGGCATTTACTGTCCCACAGAGCTTATTATCCCAACATCAGACAAAGCATGACAGGTGGACCCAGCAGGGAATTTCAAACAGGGCAACACTTATCTTAGTGCTATTTACATCGCTGGGGCCTCTGAATATTAAAATTTAAATGCATCCTCACAGATGTAGAGGAGGGGGAAGAACATCCAAGATTCTGACTAGAGTGTGCCACACAGGAAAGGCAGAGAAGCAGAAACAGATCAGTCCCTCCCTGTTTGGGTGAGCTAAGACAGTCACAGCACTGCACTTGCACAGTCACAATGTGGATATCAATAGCTCTGCCTCCCTGAGAGCCCAGGAAAGGCAGCAGGACAATTTCTATAATTGACTGGATCAGCAGCCATACCTGTTATTAAGATTACTTGACACAAGAGATTAAACAACTACCTGCAGCTGCTCAAAGCCCTCCAGTCCTGTGTCCCCTGATTTATCTCTGGTGCATGAGTGCCTCAGGCTGTGTGCTCTGGAAATGGGACAGCCTCTCCAGGAATAGGGGTACAGAGTATTACACTGAAAGCTCTTCAAGCTCCTCCTCTGAAAAACACTTTGGTGCTTCAGCCTGGCTGTGGCTTTTGTTGCCTTGAAAAGTCTTTTGTCCCCAGATGTGCCTCAAGTGAGCCCTGAGGAACTGCCTTTGCAAACTGCAGCTGTCCAGTGAGGAGTGCTTGGTTTCCCAATGTTGTTATTGTACTTTCAGCGTGGTTTTTATGTGAAAGCAAGTGCTGGATCTTGCTTATACTGCATTTCACCTTCACCCCATTTAAAGGCACGTAGAACAGGAAATGAGAGTAAAGTAATCAAACGAGGCTTCAAAGGAGATAAGGCAGTGAAGTTACAGATAGCACACGAGTCCCTTAGCAAAACATTTCTTGAAATAATGCAAACACCAGCCCAGCTGTGCACACAGCACAGCTGCTACCCTCAAACCAGGCACCTTTGTCCAAGCAGCTCTTTACACCAGCTCCTTACTCCCCAGCCCTTCCTGCATTTCTGTCAATAAAATGCATTTCTCCTCCTGCCACAGGGAAGCCTTTCTGCCCCTGCTGCAGGTGAGGAACCAGCAAAGCAAAGCCTTTGGCACAAAAAGACTGAAGGCTCAAGGAACTCAGCTGGACTGTGCCATCCCTGGACCAGGCTCATCCTCCAGAGCAGAGCCAGCCCTGCCAACCCACATCAGCACCTCCAGAAACACCTCCCTGGCAAGGAACAAACACACCTCTTACCTGCCAAGTCTCCCAGCTTCAGTTCTCAACTCCTCTTTGCTTCCTTCTGCTTCCAAGTGCTGATGGCAGCAAGGGGAAAGAAAAGAAAAAAAAAAAAAAATCAAAGGACAAATCACAACTATCTCATTCAAAACCCTTCCCATATTTACTACAAGTGTCCTGAGCAAAAATCTCAGGGAATTTTCCTGGGGTTTTTTGGCTGAGTTTTCTACAGAACTCAGAGCAGGCTCATAGCAAAGCTCCCCCTAAAATGTGAGATGCTGAACCTCAGACCAACACCTGTGGCACGAGGAGGAAAGGGAGCTCTGATGAAAGGAAAACTAAGCTGAGGGAAGCAGTGGGTATTAAGGCAAATTTGGGGATTAGGATTCCTGTACAGCAAGGTGCTTATTCACAGAACTGTAGGAATACATGTAACTGTAATTAATCAAACCACAGAACCCTTCAGGAGCTGCAGAGGGGATAAAAGCAGGGAGGGACAAGTGGGAAACTGAGCCCCAGTCAGCTGAAATCCATAGCTGGACAGACAGCCACTTCAGGGGACTTTGGGTCACACCCAAAGTGGCAGAAGAAAAAAAGGTGCAGCAGGAACAGGGGAAATAAATGAGGGAGCAGATTAATAAGTCAAATAAATATTTTTAATAGTACAACTTAAGAACAGCTGAGGAATTGCAAGGGGGGGAGGACAGATTTTGCTTTCAGGCTCATAAATGGTGGCTTTCTCTCTCAATATCAGCGGAGCAGTTTTAGATTTACATCAGTGTAACTAAGAACAAAATCAAATTAAGGAGCACAGAGTAACTGGAGACAAACCAAGCCTTATTGAGCGTTCCAACACTGGGAGGCACTCAGATACTATAGTGCTGAAGGCCATGCTACCACATTGATTAAATGTTTGATCCATCAGTAGGAGATTTATCCAATATGGGAGAAAGCAGAGAGCTCTCACTCTAGACTACTAATCAGCTATTATTTATATTTTCTGCATGCTATAAACATATACAAAGGAGATGCTTTATAGAATTTGCAGTAATAATAAGTCACAGTTATTCCCACTCCTGAGATTAGTTCTAACAGATTTCTCCAACATTTTAAAGGTGTTTTGTAAAATTATTTTGAAAGGAGTTTTCATAACAAAATCCCAGGACTTTCATTCCTGCTCTCATTTAGATCCTAAGGACTGTTATCAAACACTACAGAAACTAAGCCCAGAGCCATTTATAGTATTTTTTCCTGCATGCACTATTTTTCTCGGACAAACAAGGGAGAGTTTCTCCACGCCTCACTGCCAGGCTCGTTGGGAGTTCTATGTGACAGTGTGAAAGTAGCAGTTTCTTTTCAACAGTTTCATGCTCCCACAAACACAGACTAGTTTCTTTCAGACACCTACTTTCACTAATGCACTGCCATTCCTTATGTCATGTCACTCTCTGTTCTAAAACCACAAACCTTAATAAAAATTAGAGCTCCGACTCAAGTACATCTTTCTTTTATTTACTTCTAGTTTCCCTCTAGAAGCACTGCAATGATGATATTGTACCCAAGTCCTCACCACTGGGATTTCAAATTACTTGAAGATAATCCCTTTTATTACAAATAAAGAAATTATTCCATCAAGTCTGTCCCTCATTTCCATGCTGGCTCCACAAAATCCACCAATGTGTAACAATGCCAGTCACATTTTTGTGACATCTCTGTCCCCAGCATGTACATGCATTTTTTCACTTTTTAGTGGATGGCCTACAGGCACAGAGAACGGTACTGCTGGTAACCTGGGGAAATCTATTTAATCTCAAATTGTAGAGATTTATGTTTAAATAAGTGAAACAAGGTTCCATCTAGTTTCTGCTCCCACAGGTAAACTTTGATTAGTAATTACTAGTTCAGTCCTGAAACTCCAACTAATAATGAGACCATTAAAAAAAAAAAAGAGACATGTTTAAACTTTTTTTTCTTTTGAAAAATGTCTTAAAATAGTAAAAAAAAAAAATAAAAATCAAGTGTCTTTAAGGAAGAATACTGATTTCTTTCCAGAGAAGATGATGTCCTTGGCTGGATTCTAGTCCAGTAGGATCTATCCAGATTCTTTAAAATGTACAACAACTTTAATCAGAACAGGAGGGAGTTTTTCTACAAAGCTGGGAAGCTGTAAGTGGAAAGCTACACTTCCCATATGGAAGGTCAGTTTGTCTTTCAGATATGAACATTTACAACAGAGCAGGACGCACAAGACACTGCCCAGCTTGGACAGACTTGCATCCTCTTCCAATGTCTAATGACAACAAGTGTTGTTGTTATTATTATTATTATTATTATTATTATTATTATTATTATTATTACCAACCCTGCTCTTAAATACAGTTTCAGAAAGAAACAACATTTTCACAGCACTGCCCCATGAGTTACAGGCAGTTTTGATTCCCAGTGCTTGGTTTCAGTGCTGTCAGCAAAGGTATGGTCCACAACACTGTGGAAAGGAATTTCAGGTCCATCTTTATTTGAAAGTGTGTGCTCAATGTCACTCACAATCAGGCTCTTAACCATATTACAGCAAATTTATAACTAATAACAGAAAACTTGTAACTACATTACAGCAAATTTATTGGTGATTACAGATTAGTAAATAGGCCACCAGTGCATGCAGGATCAAAAATTAGAGCTCAGTGTCTTGGGTGTAGCACCATTTGTACTTGAGATTTATCATCTGCTACATAGAGGAAATGGAGCAGAAAAACTTGTCTCTAAGTCACTATTTGCCTTTCTTCCATCTCCCAAAAATAAAACAACTTAAAGACATTGTGAAAGCTTCACAGTAAGACCCATGCAAAACTTTTGCCACAAAATGTAAAAATCCCTCATGCTTCATTACAAATCTGAAAAACAAGGCAGTATCTGCAAACAACTTTCACACAATCATTTTGAGTGTTAAAACAGAAACTAAAGAAAAGCTCAGATACTGAGAAAGAACTATGGTTTTAAGACTAAATTATTCAAAGTAGACTGTTTTCATATGTTGTGAAAAGGCAGGGATAAATTAATATTTTCAGAAACTGAAAACCATCTCAGTGGACAAGGACTCTGGCAAACCAGTGAAAAAAAGTAGTTTAAACATCATTTTGCGTAGTCCCAAATTTGTGTTTAATAGTAGTGAGTTTTTATCTTCAGGTGCAAACAACTTGCCTCAGCAATTGGAAACACTTCATAATTCAACATTAATTCAGAGGTTCTGGAAATATTTCAGACTTATAGTCTAATTCTGAAATATTTCCAGCACCTCTGAATTAGACATTAGAAAAGAAACAACACAAAGCAAGTGACCTATATTACTCATCTACAAATATACTTTTGCATTCCTGGCTCTGTTTTTGTGGTCAGCAATGAATGTGGTCAGCCATTGCCCTCCCAAACAAGTCTGTGCTTCTCATTTTTATGGTTTTAAGTGCTTTACAGCAGCCTCCAAAGGGCAGGGACTGTGTCCATGCCTCCTGTCTGGGCAGTGCCAGCTGCAGCAGGACACGAGAGCATCCCTCAGGTCTGCACCTCCTCCAGCACTGAATGTGAATTTCAGCAGTGCAAGAACAAAGCTGGACCCTTGGAATCAGAATCACTTGGGCTGGGAAGGACCCTGAAGGTTTAGGACTGGACTCTGGTCTAGCACTGCCAATCCACCACTAAACCCTGACCTTAAGGGCCATGGCTGCACATCCTGTAAGAGCCTCAGGGGATGGTGACTCCAGCATTTCCCTGGGCACCCTGCTCCAGTGCTTGGGAAACTCAAACATGCAAAACTCTGGAAGAGCAGCTCAGGAGGCACAAATGGCACCGCTCACCCAAAAATGGCTGTAACAGGGCTGAATTTTAAACTGTTTCAAGACTTCTACATGAAAAAAAGAACTCTTTGTACAAAACGCTGTCTGACTTCCCACTCTGATGTTGCAGGCGTGTGGCATTTGTTTAGCCTCCTCCCTTCTGACAAGAAACCATCCTGAGGGTGTACAACAACCACCCAAACAAGAGAGGGAGGAATTCGGGCCCCTCAAGAGACTCCTAAAATAACAGAAGGGTGTTTACACCCTTTACTGCCCTCCCAGCACAGAGGAGATGCTTGTACAGAACATTAGTCAAATCAGATATGGCAGAAACACTAATACTCCATTTGTACTGTGGGTGAGCTTGGCTAATGGATTCAAAGGAGAGCAGAAGCAAGCCACAGACAGCCAGATTTTTAATATCCTCATCTTTTCTAGTAATGCTGTAATTGTATTTAATGTTTCACTTTGTTGTGCATTTTATTGTTGAGACTTTAAAATCATCTGGGATCCCTTTGGGACATACAGCACTATATAAATGTAAGTTGTTATTATCAAATAACAATCAGTGGCTATTTAAATTATACAATAGCTACCTGATTATACTTAACCAAGTTAAAGCTCTAATAAGAAATGATTATATATCATCTAAATTAAAGATATTTTTTGCCAGCCTAAAGAACCCAAAGTTTTTCACACTGGATATGCAAGTGTCCTGCAACACCTGAGTGCTGAGATCACATAGGATTTCTGCTGCTTTAAATGGAGACTCCTGGCAGAGAGTTAAATACCTAGACAATTTTATTTTTCTGAAGCAGCAAAACTAAGATTTATTTTGTTTCCCACAGTTATTTGAGAGAGCATTCACCTGCACCTCTAGCATTGATCCTGCAGTGTCTATAACAGTTTTTTGGCTGTATCACCAGCTATATATAGGTTGTAAATCTAAGACAATTTCAACCCAACACAGGGATCTCTGAGCTCACACTCAAGCAGCAAACTCAGTGTTTGTCCTGTCAGCTGGGCACAGTGTGGAACACACAAAAAAGCAGCAAACCTTGCCTCTCTGAGCTCAGTGTGGAACACAAAAGCAGCTAACCTTGCCTCTCTGAGCTCAGAGGTTCTGACCTGCCCCTGTGATCCAGCCCCAGGGACCCAGCATCCCAAATATCCACCTTGGGCATGAAGCAGGCCATGCAGCCATAGGAGATGTTTGGGGATGCTGCAGGCTCTGAAAGTGCTGCTGCCAG